TGTCTTGATGTACCTTCTGGATGAGAAATGTACTATACCCGTATTGTTTGTAGAGTAAACAGGATGATTTGGACTGGCTGTGCTTTAAAATGAATACATCTTGAATAATTAATGAAGGCCCTTTAAAGCGTTGTTATCTGTGTGACCGCAAACGTAAAACCACTGATGATGAGAAAATATGGTTTTAACAAGTCAATAATGGTGAGTGCAACAAGAACAGCCTAATCAATGAGGCTGCAACGTTTGCAAACAAGGACTTGAATTATAACGCCAATAATTGATCTCTTCCATTTTTCCCCTCTCTCTCCTTCGTGTGATGTCATTGTTTATTGATTGCTTCCTGCCAGCGAGGGATGATGGGAAGTTTCAGAGTTTGTTTTTGCTCTGACTTTTGCCCCCCCCCCTTTTCCTTCCCCACCACCTTTCCCTCCTTTCTCCCCCATAACCCCCCTTCTCCATTTGAAATTTGCAAGCTGTAGCACCAGCTTAACCAAAAAGGATTAAGTCCCATACCCAACTGAGAACACAGATAATGCTCAGTAATTGGTAAAAAATGAAGATGAATGGGACAGCTAGATAAGGACCAATTAGCTGCTGGGAGTGTACAGCTGTGGTCTCCTCACAGAATGCTCTCAGGGGCCAAGGCCCCCTCTTTCTCTATCACGCAAGCATGCGTGCATGCGTGCATACACACACGCGCACTAACACACACATACAAACATGCATATGCACACTCGCAAAAATACAAGCATGAGGGCGGGGCTTGCAGAAATTAGCCTGATGACCCTGGGAAGACAGAATGATGCTTCCTCATCATCTCACCCAGAACCTCTTCTCTCAACTCTCCGTCAGGCAGCACTCCAGGTACCTGTCACCAGCCGTCCAGCTCCAGCCGAGCATGTGGGCCACAGCCTGGACCGGAGCCACAGATGTGAGACAAAAGGGCTTTTAGGGCTGAAAAAGTGCTGCAGAATGTAACTGCCTGTGGTATTATGGGTTGAGGATGAATTAAAAATGTACATCAACAAACAAGGCTGGGCAATACATTGGTATAATATATATGTCCTGAAATGAGACTCTGCATCTACATAGATTTTGGAAATTGAAAGTCGTCGTAAGTGTCCTGGTTTTAAAGGCTGCATTAAAGTGAATTATTAAAAAAAAATTAATTACCAAACTGTTCTAACTGCCTTTCCCACTTAGTCAATAAATCCACATCACTGATGATTATTCATTTACATTTTTATTTATTTTGTCTTTCTTTACAGGTTAATATATACATAGGAACTCATTTACATTTTCATTGTGAAAATATGTTGTAAATGCTGCAAACCTACAATACTGGTTTTCAAGTTTTATTTAAAAAAAATTGTATTACATATATCTTTTCCATAGTGCCCAGCCCTATGGCAAGGGCTGTTGTGTCTTTTCTTTTTACTCGGGCTGTTACTGTGGTCTGCATCTCGTGGCATCATCTGGCTGATGACAGTAGAATTCCCATATCTAATTACAGGCAGGATTTCAGCTCCATTAGAGTTGTGTGGTGAGGAGTCAGATGAGTGGCAGGGCAGCACCCAGTGGCCAAAGAAAGACAGAGGGCGAAAGACGGATAAATAGTTGAGACAGAGTAAAAAAAAGAAAAGAGGACTGGGTTGAATACTGCCTTATCTTTTCTTTACACTGCTTGTCTAAGAAACACTTTATTTTCCTTTGGCGGCTGAAAAAAAAGCAATTCCTTCTCTTGAAATTGGCAGGTGTTTGTTAGTGGGCAGCTGACAATATTTTCTCTCCCAGTAATGAAGGTTGTGGCTGGGGTCAATGCACTGGGGGGGAATGGCGGGCTGTTTATCCCCCTAAAGGCCCAGCGCCACACATGTTTTGCTTGGTCTGTGATCTGTAATTGTGGCATTTCCTGAGAGGCGCAGGAACAATCCACATTGTGCTTTGAGAGGGTTCCCTCTGCCCGACTAAAGGCCGAGAGGGAAAATCAAACCAAGACACCTTTTTTCTCTTTTTAAACATTTTTATTTTGCTCCATCACAATATCTCTATCTTAATATATGTATATCTGTCTCTCCCTCAATTACTCCCACACAGATATTTATTCCTTTCTTCCCTTCTCACTCCGGATGTTTGGCTATTTTGAGTCGAACTGGCTGTTTTTTCCTTATAATTAATAACATTGACGCAAACAGGAAGGTCTAATTGTAATGAATATTTAATGCGATGGAGAAACATTAGCCTGTTCAATTTACATCAACACAAAGACAGCGACGGGCAATCCAACTCTACAAACAGAACAGAGTGTCCTTCACTGGCTGGCTCTGTTGTGCTTTGCTTTAAGCTCTTCACAAAGATCTGCTTCAGACAAACACTGAGATGAGGCACCTGTATTTTAGCCTGAGGAGAGTTTTATTTTCCAATGGGGTTCATGTAGAAGCTCTTACTGATTAAATGGATCTATGTCCTTAGTGGTATTATCAAAAGCATGCTCATTATCATATCAATTCCTATCATGGTTGGTAATATCATTTGTTTAGGTAAACACATCCGTTTGTGTGAGTCTTAGTTTAAGCTTGTTGATTATAACACTGCAGTCCATTCCCTCAGAGCAGCTATGGTCTGAGAGAGAACAGTATGAAGTCATGCCCTACCCAGAACTGTAAAGAAAACAGACCAACATAGCTTCACCCAAATACAGTTCCCTTTCTGCCCACTCCATGCTATATCAGTCAAGTGATTTATATGTTTGGATTGCTATGTGATAATGGGCTTGAGAGCTGGACATATTAGGCATTCACGCTCCAAAATAGTTTTTGAAAGCAGCCTCGAGTCGACACCAATTCTCAAATCATGTAAGTCGGTTATTACTTGTTAAATTACAAAATGCTTTTGATGGAAAATAAACATGTGAGTGGCTGCCTGGGGCGAGATGAAGAAGACAGCATGCTGCTCGCTGTGTTTCACGGCCCTGTGTTGCCGAGCAGGCCATATTTCTCCGGCGTATTATCAGGATGACTCCTGCTGGCCACCCTGTCACAGGAGAGTGCTTGATATAAACAAGAGATTGCTGCGACACCCAGCAATCAATATTAGGATGGTTTCAGTACCAAACATCATTTGTCTCAGCGACCATTCCTTTGACCAAACGAAGCATTAATTCAAATCATAAATCTGAGCTGATTTAAATCCGAGGAGAGTGAGGGAGAGAGAGAAGCCCCTGTCTGACTGCCTGCCCCTAATGATTTATTTTCTACATTTCTGCGAGCGAGAGATTTGTCCATACTCACTGACAGGTCACCTTCAAACGCCAGTGGCAGACTGTTCATCACCATGCAGACGAGCATCTCATCGCTGCGAGTAAATATTAAAGGAAAAGAATCCAATTGATTGTGGATGGGGCCGAGAGGCGTCACTGCCATATATTTCACTCAGAGAGCTAATGCTATGGCCCATGCACCCACACCTAGCGCTGCTCCCCCTTGCCAGAATTATGATTCTACCGGGAGCTTGTGTGGCTGGCTGTGGGCTCAAGGTTACAATTTAAATTGTAAAAAGATAAAACAGTTTCTTATTAGCTCCATTGCCATAGCCTTGCTGTTGGTACTCACATTTATCTTTATTTCCGTGACCTCGTACGCTCGTATTCTTTTTTTACATACTCCATTCTCTTGGAGTGATGACCTCACACTTTATGCATTTTGCATTGTTAAATCTGCTTAGAAACACATCCTGTTTTCATCTCACACACCATAAGCTCCACGGTGTCAAGTATTACTGATGAAATGTATTCAGCAGTCGAGCCATTTATTACAGTAAGTGAATCAAAATCTCCATTTAGCAACCAAAGCTACAGGGATTACATTTGGTTTATAATTTGGAATGGGCTCATGAATCCGCACTAACATACATTATCTTTCTCTTTAATACACTAAGTGGTTCTGTGTGATATTAGGAAAATCCTTCTGCATTTTCTGGCTAATAATTAATTGAAATGGCACATAGTGAAAAACCAATGCTTTCACAGCAATTCAATTAGATCTTGTTAAAAGCTGATAGCTTTGGAAAACTGTGTTCACAGTTTCACTTAGCTATTAGCAACGAGGCTTTTAAAAAAAAAAAAATCTTTCCACACAAAGTGTAAAATGTTTCAAGAGAAAACCAGACTTACCTCATGGTGGATATTCACAGTGCATACTAAACAAAACAAGCCTTTAACATTTCATTAAGAAAGCAGCGGTATAGTGGAGACGGTGAGTATTTGGTTTTATGGGATTATTGATTACTTCTGTCGGAGAGGTGTTTGTTTCCGGTGCTGGAAATGTTTGGAAATTGGTCTGTGTTTTGTTTTTATGTTGACCTTACATTTCTGCCTCATTGTGGTTATTGTATGCATGTTTCTGTGGTCTTCATTTATACTTGTGAAGCACTTTGTGAAATCTATTTATGTGAAAGGTGCTATAATAAATAAACGTATTATAATTCATAAACGTATTATTATGTATTTGGATGTTATTTAAGCAGAATATGAACATTCAAGACAACTGATACGCTTTTGGTTGCCTTTGGAGAAATATAGAATTCCAATTAATATTATTATATTACATACAGTCCCCTTTTAAAGTTAGAGCAGCTTTTCCCCTACTCCTAGAATATGTTTGCCCCCCCCTTCAAGTTGGAAAATTAAATGATCTTTTATTTGTTTTTATTATGTTGCCAATGTCTTGCAATTGACATAATTCATAGATCATATTTTGTATCCAATAGCAAACGTGCATTACATTAAATCTATGTATGTATTTTGATGCAGATTTGTATTGCTACAAGTGTTTTTCTATTATTAAAATACCATATTGGTGTTTTGTGGTGTATATCAAAATGGAGATGAGAAAGCAGGTCTTTAAGTGTGTGTTTGTGTCTGTCTTTGCAACAAACGTTTGTCTTCCGTTTAATATGATTGTAAAAGTGTTTGTGACAGTGTGTGTGAAGGGCATCCCCACCGACGCTGGAGCCGAGGTCTCCATTCTCCATGTCCATCCCGTGGTGGATGGCGTTGCCGTGGTAGCCGCTCATCGCCTCCAGCTTGATCTTCTTGACCTTCATGGCCTCTGCGATGGCTGCGTTGGCAGCAGCTGCCGCCGCCGCTGTCAGACCTGGAGAGAGGAGGAGAAGAGACAGAGCTTACAGAACACTACATGTCTGCTGGGGCTGAGCCACTGCACCTGCAAAACCTTTCAGAAACCTGCCCCGGTGAAGAAAGAAAAAAACAAAAACAAATAGGACTTTTGAAATAATAAAACAATGAATAATTGTATACAGTGTAGGGGGAATAAGCGCCTATGAGATCACAGCTTGGTTTTTCACCCTCTGACAGGGGATATCTTCACAGCAGGTTATCATGCTGATGGGATGGATCCGTGTGTGTGTGTGTGTGGTAGCATATGATTTGTATAAATGTTTCATGGACTCCGGTATTCCTCCCCACTATATTGATGTATGTGTACCTTGATGAGTACAGATGCAGTCAAGGTAATACTGCAAGATGCGTTTTGTATGTGCAATACACAAAGTACGTGTGTGTAAAATAAAGGTGAGGTGACACAATGTGACATGAGTGGAGATACAAAGTGAGACGGGTTCAATATGTGAACAAATACAAAGAGAACTGTGTCTCAAAAACCTTATTGAGGGTATTTTAATCATACCTTCTAATGTATTCAATGGACGCAATAGCCCTGAATAATGCTTAACATTGGTATTGAAGTTCTTTACAGCTATAGACTTTAGAGTCTCATAATAATAACACTCTTTGAGAGTCAAGGCCAAGTCATCAAGCAGAATGGAAAACTATTAACAAGGTGCCAGGTATTGAAGTTTATTTATTCAAACACTTGAAAATGCCTTTGAGTGCATTCAGTACTTGGAGGGCCATGTGTGAAAACTAACTAAAGATCATGATCCTTCAAAAAAGTAAAGAAATGTAAAAATTGAATATCATCTCTATTACATTTTCAAAAACATAACCCAACATACTCAGGAAATGAATGAGGCAATAGATAAAAAGACGATATTGACACATAAGGGCAACGGAAAACTCAAATGTAAATACTAAGATAGATTATGAGATGAAATATATTTTTTTTTAAGGAAATAAAATAGTTATTTTATATTAATGGCCATAACTTTAAATATGTTTTTAATTTCCAGAATGAAAAAAAAAGAATGTAAACGCTATGTTTCCTACTTGATAGTCTTTGTGTCTGCATTCACCGACTTGTATTTTTAAAGTTGCTTAATTTTATAATCCAGCAATTATGACTTATGATTCCATAACACTTGAAAATGTCTGATAACATGTCATCTTTCTTTAAGAATACACATGGATTCTGCTCAGGCCTGAAGTAGATTTTTTCATAAGCAGTCTAAATGACTATCGACATCACATTTTTAATTATCATTCACATTTCCAATGCCATCCCTACATATACTTTGGAACAGCAATATTTGAAATGGTTGTCCACCTCGATCAAAATGGACTTGATATGATTGATGTACTAAGTCTGCGATTATAGACATACATATGCTGAGCACACTGCAGAGATCATAAAGCATTGGTTTGTCATTGTGGTATTTCCAGGGTTCTGCTGTATTGAACGTGACTGAAATCTTTATTCATGAGGCTGGTCTCAAACAGCAGGGACAGATAGTGCTAAAGCTCCTCCAGGCCTGCTGTGTCTCAGGAGAGTCCCAAGACTCTTCTTGCCAACCCCAGCAGCAAAATCAAAGATGTACGGCGAGAAAAAGATATGCACCTATTAGTGGAATCACTCATATCCACAATACGGTGTATCACCTGCCCTTTCACAGGATCTGCTCATACTGGATATCCAGGTTTGCTTTGCGTTTGACGCAGAACAAGGCAACGTCTGCGTTTATCATCACTAAGCTGTCACGTCTCCGCGATGGGACTCAAGAGCAACTATTAGCCATGCATCTGAGGGAAGACACGAGCACAAGGAGAGGTAGAAAAATCGAACATGTGGCTCTAATAGATACATGAGAGCATGCGCACACACAAGACACAAAGAACACACCGGTCTGGGCACCCTCTCCTCTCATCCCCAGCAGATAGGCAGATGGCGAGAGTCACTCTGAGCCACTGACATGGAGGTGCATATAATTTAAAGCCTTGTTTGCATCTTAAAATACATCAGTACCATATTGACGTACAGTATATATCATGTCAGCCCGGGCCCTCTCGTTTGCAGTGGGCCCTGGCTGCTGTTCAATATGCATGGGCAGATCAGGGGGGAAAAAAGCCATTGCCTCATAAGAAGGTGATACTTCTCCACATAATGAATGTGGCCTCTGCCCAGTCTGAAGGTCAGCCTTCATTTGTGTATAATGGGCAAGAGTCAACTGTTTTCCAAATGAGACGTATGCAGAACAGACTGCCGAGTAAATATTGAAATCACCTCTGGGCTGTTTGTGTGATAAATTCCCCCCACAAATCAGGTGCCGCTCAAAGGAGTGCCGCAGTGGTGCTTTCTGAGGCTCTCTAACTTTCTCTGTGGTTTATTGCACTGCAGCCTGTCTGTCCTCAACATATCTTTTTCTAAAGTAAAGTGGACTATACTGTACAAAAAAAAAATGGAAATGAATCCATAAAGAATAGGTTGTCAGGTTTTGAACAAATGTGTATTGAGTAAATAAATGCTCAGAAATTGATTTTTACTATAGTGAAACAGATGAAATGATCACATTTCCATTTTTCATTTATCATTCCACCCAAACCTCCACCCGGTCTTTGACTAAGTGACACACTCTATGAATTGAAATCTTTGTTCTGATAATTGTTTCATTTCACCGGATCAATTGTCATATCCAGATAACACACACCTCGATACAGTGGACGTAATAAGGAAGCCAGGGAGATGTTGGCGCCCAGCAACAAGTCTATTAAGCCACTAGAAGTCTAAACGTCAACAAGACCAATCCCACTCAGCGCTAATCTGCATTCATTACCATGCAAACAAAACAATCCTGCCTCATATATTCTTTCAAAGTCACCTTTAGATTCAGATACTTTTCTCATATATGCACACGGTCAGAAAAGAATCCTCCTGAGCACAAAACAAACAGCGCTTTACGGAGGCATGTAGAGAGCAACACCAGTCAGAGAAGAGAAAAGAGGAACATTTCAACAAATAGAGAATAGCATGCCAGTGTCACATGGGGAGCACAAAACAGCAAATAACAGAGACAAGGTCTGATGGTAGCCCTTGGAGCAGCTGTCATATTAAATAATAATGAAGGATCTATTAATATGCAAAGGAAGCAGCAGCCGACTGGCTTAACGCTGTCATGCCTCTGCATATTGTCAGGATCTTCATCATTAATTAACATGCTAGCTGCCCCATACCTGCGCCAATGTCAGAACATTCTTACAACAAACACCCCAATGCCTGTGCCCTCCGCAACTAACTTGTATAATTAAATTAAAATCAGATTAACTTCACATCAGTACACAAAAGACTGACTTTTACGGCTTTCTCTCGCAGTGATTAAAAAAGGAAAATAAGCGGGGCTTATCTGTTGTGTTTCTGTTCTGTCTCTGTTAGGGACTGCACCATGGGCAACAATGAAAACACACTTTATTTATCGGGCAAGCGGGATAAGTAGGAGAGAGACACTCCATGTCAATGAGCATGGCCGCCTAATTTTATGCATGGACTGGTGGCAACGCAGCAATGACAAACTGGGGTTGGGAACAACGCGACTCTTAGGTACACTGCACCACTTGAACTGTGCTATCCACATCATGACAAATTTAGTATCAATTACGCAGCGCGCTAACCTTATGACAAGCAGCGGACTGAAATAGGAGGGGTAGAGACACAAAGAACTGACACTAAATTACCTGGTGCATACGGGATCTATTTTAAAACAGCTTGAAGTGGCACCGGATTAGATGATCCACTCTAGGAGCTGACGTGCTAATTGTACATCAAACGAACATAAATATTACAATATGTCTCCTCCTACAGTACTTGTAAGAAGAACCAGCTCTCTGAGGCACAGGGAACCACGTGCACACACACAGTAAGGCTGAGGCAGACAGTATTAGGAAATATTGTTTTTTATCAGTAAAGTACACTCTTGTTAGATGTAGGTGACATTCATTTCTCTAATGGTAAATGCAGTACTCTTGCCTTATTCAAAAGGTTGAAGCCATATCCAGGACATAAATGAATTATATTGAAGCTGCTGCTTAAGTAGTGGCCAGAGTGTGAGTGGAGGCCCTCTCCACTTTAAAGGAGATGTCATCTCAGTGTGGTGTCAGTCCACAGCAAATAATCCGATTTGGGGGCCAATCTGCCTGTCTGCCTGTAAATGCATCAGCAAACTGGAAAGGCTCCAGCTCAACCCCCCCCCCCCCCACCACCACCACCACACCCCCCGGGGGCATGAACGCTAGAAAGCAGGCATTCAGACACTTGCACGTAAACATGTGCTTTCACACACATATACTGTATGAGGGTATTTTCCTTAAATGGAAAACCTAAGCATATTAAGATGTCCTCTTCTAAGTGGAACTGGTGTCAAGGGCGAAGATACATATGTTAACAATGTGTTTCACATAGGGCTTTCTGGTCCTGTTAGAGTGCGAAGACGAAATCTTTCCACTGTGTTGAATATGGTTATGATTTAAATCTAGTATGATGTGTGTCTATGTCTAATGTCTGTGTCTAATATGTAAAAAAAACATTTGCTGATGAGATTTTGTGTGAAGAAATCAAACAAAATGCCTAAAATTGAGTTAAGAATACTACATTGATTCTGTCATGGCATGCCGCCTTTGGAAGCAACAAGATAACATATATTAAAAATGTATACCTAAAATAAGAGTGAGACCTTTTGTACAATTGAAAGATCAATCCTTGGTGATAAGGAGCTGCATTATGTATTATTTGCAAATGTAACACCAAGAGAGAGCGAGTGTTAACATGTATCTTTGTATATTTCGCTCCATCTTTGCAGCCCAAATTAAACTGTGAAGTGGCTTTTTCGTGGGAAATGAGTGAAGCCTCGGGAAAAGCCGTGAGCCCAACTCATCTGAAAAATGAACTAATATGACATGACATGATAGTGTAACTGTATGAGACAGTTTTTTAATGTCGGTTTTCTAATCATCAATCAGTACATTTGGACATGACAGGGAGATCAATTAATCGCCTACTTAGATGCTAACTTATGTGTGGTCAATTATACTACATTAGGAATCCGCCAGAATGTGCAACTTCTTTGACATGTAATGCTTAATACTATAATCAAAACAATACATGGATTAATTATAACACAGAAATTGATGGAAAAGTTATGTCTCGCCACAGTTGAGAAGCTTAACGCAGTTATGAGAAGACCGAAAACCTCAATTATTTTATCTGTGCCCCCTGAATACCCTGACTAAATGTCAAGATCATAGAGTCCCTCCGGGCTTAAAGGGGATGATATCAAAAGGCTTTTCACTTGCTTTATGTTCCACTAAATAACATGGGTCTTTCTCATCATTGTCCTTCTCTGTGTTCACTTCGGCCTTTAAGTTCGCCTTCTATGCCGCGCCGCAGATAGCCAGTGACCTCACTCTATTCCCAGAGTTCAAAGCAGTAGCCTGTGAGCCCCCATTGTACTGAATCACAAGGATGGCCCAATGTGTGTTATTGAATTTCAAAACCCTCACAGACGCTGCCTTTTGGAGAAAAAGAAGAAGAAGAAAAAACACTTTCTGACTGATTTCACACAGATGTAAAAAATGGTAGGATAATTAAAAGTCTGTTATACGCTGAAGGAAAACCAGCTGTTTTATCTCTTACTAAATTACTATAATAAATAGCTGGTTAAATACAGTGGGTAAGCATTCAAAGAGCTCCGTTCGACAGTACAATATCATTAAAGACATATAAGGAAGGAGAGCTAAATATGCAAATCAGAGCAGTTACCGCCACCAACATCAAAGCAGTCACAATGAAGCCAGCCACAAATAGAACAAAAGCATTGGTTGCAATAAGACTTGGCCCGAGGGCTAAGTTAGGGCACAAACGGTTGTTGTTGATTCTCGTGGCGATAAGCTTGCTTTAGCATCATCACTGCCTATGTACATATACCAGTGCAGTGGATTTAATCGCACTAATTAGAATGCACTCAAGGCAAAATGCAACATCTACTGGAATAATCTGAGAGAAAAGATCTCCACTCCAATTTATTCTCTCCCACCCCCCCCCCCCTCCCCCTTTTAGTTTCCGGGGGTTGAGCAGAAGATCTGTTTTTGGTAAACGAGTGAGCGGCTGGTGTCTGGTGGTTGGGTGCATGTGTCACTTTGGACTGGTTGCCATTTCGAGGACAAGCTGCGGGGAGGCCACTGGTGGGGAGGCTGTGTGTGTGTGTGCTTGAGTGTGTGTGACAGAAAGGAAGAGAAAGATAGAAGACACCCAGACAGATCGAATTAGAGCCTTAGCAACAATGACAGAGCGCTGTAGACCAAGACCAAACCATACCTGTGGGTGGGATCATGCCAGGGGACATGAGGCCAGGGACCGAGTGGGGCATGATGTGGGGGTTCTCCGATGATGTCATGCACTGGCTCCTCTTCGGGGGCCGTCCGGGTCTGGAGCTGAAACACCAAAAGGAAGAGATTGTGGGTAAGAAACCAGGAGGAAACTGGCAGGGGGAGGAGGGGTTGTGTGGGTGGTGGTGGTGGTGGTGTTGGTGATGGCGGGGGGGTGTTAACATTTGGGCGCCCCAGAATGCAATTCCAATCCAAAGAGCTAACATGGACTGTAAATACATTCCTTTTCAAGGACAGTTGCTTTCTGCAGCTCAACATAATAGACTTCCATAACTAATTAGATTACACGGTGAATTCATTTCCTTTATTGAAGATCAACCACTTTTTGATGCATAATTCATAACCCGTACCTCGTTACCTGTTCCTCCGTATTAATATCCCTCCACTATTTGAATTGCCTCGTTTGCATATGCTAAAATCCAGAGCGCGGCCTTCGGCCTGGAAATTACATGTTAACTTGTTATAATTATTGCAGTCAGGCCACTATTGATTTATGAGACTTTTAAAAACCAAATATGTGTAGTTCTGGTAATGAATGATATTTTAAGGTTCTTCAGGAAATTAAAAGGCAATGGCTGCCTTAGGAAATGTTCTGCTTGCTTGATTTAATGCGTGCCTTAGCTGGAAGGTGGTGTGACAGAGTGATTCAGACCTGTTGGACGGTTCTGATGGGGGAGTTTTATTACACCAAACGAGGGGCACAGATCCAGCCGTGATAAATGACTGTGCCACCTTACAGTGCAGGAGAAAAGCCTTCAGAGCAGATACACCCCTGACTTTCCACACATCTTACTCATACACTTATTAATACAGCTTCGAGTTGCAATCAATACCTACTTTGCTGGCTTATAGTTACAGAGAAAGGCCTACAGGGTGAAAAAAATGCAATGAGCCCATAATGAGGGGGGCCATGATCCTATAGAGGTATATTCTTTATGAACAAGGAGCTGGATGTCTCAGCCCAAGATGAATTATGGTGTCTTGACACAGGTGACATATTGGCTTCATACATTATTTCACATACAATAGTCAATTTTCAAGCTTTACCGGGATACTAAGTTCTCTCTTACGAACTGAGTTCAGCCCGTCCATAAAACACTGCTGTAGCGTGCGTAACTAAGGAGGCAACATGGATAAACAGGATGAATAAATAATAAGTACAAAATAAATATCATTTTATATAAAAAGGATAGGAAGAAAACTGAATTGAGGTTCATATTTATTCAGTAAATAAGCTTTAAAAGGGGTGTTAAAATGCAAACGCAGTAATGTAAATGTCAAGTGTTATCGTAAAGTTTAATTGGAATATATTTTCAAAAATACATCTGAATAGGTAGTATTTTATTGGTGGTAGGATAAAGTGTTGTTCACTACACTCATAACATTTCATTTAATTACTTTCATTATTAATGTATTGTTTGTTGGTAAACTAGTGTTTTACCATGTCATATTTAGAATCTATGTCAAATTATTTAAAGATTATTACGGATTTATAGGGTTTTTTCGCAATTGAGATTCAGATAAATGTAATTAAAGATACCAACCGATTAGTTGTTCTTTAATTTATATAACAACGGTGTCTAATTGTGGACTTTATCAACCAGTAAAGTAAATGTGGCTGTTTGCGTTACAGTACATTTCACTACAGGTCCCAAAGGCAGTATCTGCAGAGTGATGCAGTGTTTTAGTTCAGATACCACACAGCCTTAGTAGTTGAATTTATTCAGCCGTGTCTTGTGAGGTTTATTTACCTCAGTCCTGCTAATAGAGTGCACTCGCTCTATCTGTCTGAATGTGCTGACTCTCTCATATACCGGCTCTGGAGGTTTTAGTACTAAAAGCCAAAGCAGCCCTTTAAACAACTGTGTCCCCTTGGAGGGAAAACACAAAAGGGTTAGAAAGAAGTGGCGAGAAGGAATGACAGAAAGTGAGAGGGAATGACAGAAAGTGAGAGAGAGAAAGTGAGAACGAGAAATGAGCGCCCGTTCAACCTAGGAACGTCTGGAAATGTAATTCCTATTTCTATAGAAGCACCTCTTTGATCTTATGAGAGGGAGAGATCGCACACAGTTTTGCTGTCATCACTTTCACTTGTGCTCTGGCTGAATTATTTATGAAAGACCTCAATAGAGGGTATGTGATGGGTAAAAGGCTTTTTACCAACGATACTAAAAGCAAAAAGGCCCTCAAATGGACAAAAAAAAACCGTCACATCCACCTTAGATCATGTCAAAGAATGTGAACCCAGGTACAAAGACCCGGTTAAGTAAAGGTAATGTTTAGATAGGCTGCAAGAGAATGTGACTGGGTGTTAGGGATAGCATTTCAACTGCTCTCTGCACACAAATAACACCGGCTAGCCATGAAAGCAATACACCAACTGAAAAAAGGAAGGCTTTGAACTGAGGGACTTTCAAGTAACAGGAAATCCCTCAGAAATTAAAGTTATCGCCTCTTTTCCTTGTGACAGAAAAGGCTTACACTTTATAAGAGGGTGTGCTGTGACTATGTTGTATCTTTCTTAAAATAATCACAGCTTTGTGTATTATGTAGTTTGCTGTAATCCTCCTTAACAGTATGACATATTGTTCCTTTGAACGCCACAGCTGAGGCATTCCTGCTAACATTACTGCAGATTCTGCACTGGTCAGAGCGGTACAGGCTGATACGCCGGGTCCAGAGAGGAACTCAACCTGGCCTAAAACAAAAGAGCCAGGCTATTTATCAAGCAGCAGATGCTGATTCCCTAAATAACCTGGCACAGAAAAACTGCTCCAAACTAGGCCATTATTGCACCAAAAAAAACACAGCAAAACTGGATTCATGATTGGAATTTGTGGTTCTTCTCATGCCTTGTCTTTCCTAATCTTCCTTGCTTCTTTTTCATTTTCCCTTCACTACTGTAAATGTTTCATAAAAATAGGAACCACCGGGTTTTAAAATGGACTTATTTGGAAAATTCTGTATTGGAAGTCAATCATAAAATAATTGTATTCCCTGCTTTATTTATATGTATACTAAAAGATATTCAGGGCCCTCATATCTCTGGCTTGAATTAAGGAAAGAAAATAGGCCCCGCCAGCTTCGGGCTCGGCCCACAAATATGTTACACATCTATTCTCTTTTTTGTTTCGCTACCATGGTGAAAGGAAAATAGTGGTGAACTTTCCCTGAACCAGACTTCCCTTAATGGCCCGGCCGTGTGTTGACCCAGCAGAGTCGGCTGGAACCTGATACTATCCAACACACTACGCTGCGCAGGCAATCAGATTACACGGGGCCCAACAATACACTCCACACGAGTCCAATTTCAGCGCTACAATGCAATAAAAGGCCAATAATTAAATTCACGTTCTCACCGTTTACAGGAAGCCTACACGAGGTGATAGGTATAATAAGAGGTATAATATCGAATGAGATATCTGGACGGTTTTTGATCTCCAGGCAAAATTCTGACATCTCACTATCAGACACTTTTCTGTCTGCGGAAGCAGTGACTGAGATCTTATTACCCAGAACGCCGTTAATGCAGTGATTATGATCTGTTATAAATCAATTGAAACCACAAATGTAATGTTTAGCCCAAGTGAGCGCACTTCCCTCAGTGGATTTAGTTACACACAAATATCATCTGCTCCTCCCATCTTCGTATATCTTTAGGAATTCAACCTGATTATGTCAATAGTGACTCCAGTTTGCAGGGAAAGAGCATAATATTACTTCCTGGTGGTTATGATTGAGCCATTAACCTTTTATCTCGGTCTTTTGTTTGACGTTTCTAAAAGGTAAGGATGAAGATATTTATTCCATTTCCGCCCAGTCGGCCAAAACAAGCGAGTGAATCATTCCGTCTGGGGCTTGTGTAAACAAAAGGCCTCTCCAGGTCTCTGCCAATCAGGCCTTATAAAATATTAACCCAATGTCATTGCCCTTTTAAAATCTCTCACCTAGAATTCCCTAATTGTTCCTTTTCTTTATCTCTCCAGTGCAGAGAGTAAATAAATTAACAAAATAGCTTTTATCGCCCTGAGTAACCTTTTAACTGAAGGATTATCTGGGGTTTATTTTTCATTTCTCTCACAGCGATAGCGGAGCATGCCCCATTGATTGGTTTGCTGGGGTGGTGACCAGCCATGAAAACAAGGTCTTATTGATAAAACAAAGCAGCTCCTTACCTTTTTAAGTGTCGGGTCAGGCAGACACTCAGAGGCCTCAGACCAGCGGGGGTTTAAATATGCTGAGTTTATAGGTTTTTTAAATTTGGTTCAATCAAACAGTTTAACAATATGCGCGCCACCCCCAGGAGGTTAACTGTGTTTGTTGAAAGACAGGGATAACATGGCTGTGGTGTATTACTTCCAATTTAAAATCCCCACCGATAAAACAACAGGGTTGGTTGAGGCTAAAAGAGGAAATGTTTAACTTTAATTCTAGAAATTAGTTATTTTGAAAACAAGCGTAACTGTTTGTTTTCCTCTGCTTTGAAAAAGAATTCTCCTTATGGCAACAAAAGGAAGCTTGACGTGCAAGTGTGAAGTATAAACTCAAGTCAAAAATTAACACCTGCTGATTTCCCACTGTGGATTTGTGGTGAGAACATGTCTAATTAATTATGTGTTCTCAGTTCTTCTTGATGAGCTGCTTTTAGCTCTTCAATGGAGAACACACTAATGTTGGCAAACACGGGAGATAACAACCCTGTCAATGCAAACTAACATGAGAACAAAGTAAGTGTTAATCATTTACTCATGATTTATTTTCTTCAAACGCTCTACTATAACATTAACATGAATTATATACATAACATTAAATAACTAAAGCATATCATTGTCTATTCTCTGAGTTGAGTATTGTATATGTGCACACTTGTACATGTAAAACTAATATTTGTGTTTTAATCAGAAAGACGATCTCATATTGAGCCTTAGGAAATTAAAATTATTAATATAATTTTCAAAATGTTCACAACACAAAATGGATACATTAACTATTTAACAATGAATCGATCAAGACAATGATTGTTCAATTCAACCCTAGACAATTGT